AAAGGCAATACCACTGGCATATGGTGGTGAGCCCCACAGTGGGGTAAGAACATGGAAGGAGGCTACCAAGCATGAAGGACTCACTGTATCAAGCGTGCTTTCGCAGGGCCATGAGACACTGCCGTGCGAAGCTCCAGAGGAAGAGGAAACGCATCTCTTGAAGGAGGCTGCTGTGAAACACTGTCTTATCATGGGATGGGCTTCTGACTGCACTCAGTGCTGCCAGCTGTGAGCCAGGACCCTTGGCCTGACATCTAGGAGTGCTGAGCACCTGAAACATCTCGATTCCAGCTAGCAACCTTTGGCCCTCCAGCCCCTGCCCATTTCCTGCCTGGTACTGGCACAGCAGACACTTTTCTTCAGTGCTGAATCATAGAAAAGAAGGACCAGAAGGGGCCTGTAAGATCAGCAACTCCAGTCCCTTGTCATGGGCAAGAGGTAATGGGCTCAAAGGAGCTCCAGCCTGCTCTTGAACACCGCCAGGGATAGCAACTGCACCACCTCTGCTGGAAGTGTGTTCCAGATTTTGGTTACCCATATGGAAAAGAAGTTTTTCTGCAAGTCTAGCCTAAACTTCCCCCTCCCTTCCCCCCGCCCCGACTAGCTTGTGCCCATTGGTCCTCATCCTCCCAAGGGGTGCCTTTTTGAAAAGTTGCTCTCCCAGATCCTGGTGTTCTCCCTTGACATATTTGTAGGCAGCTATCAAGTCACTCCTCAGCCTTCTTTTACTCAGACTGAACACATCAAAGTAAGAGAATCCTATTGCCGGAGAGACCGACTTTGCTGCTCCCCTGCTGCAGCCTGTTCAACAAGCGAGCCCTGCATTTCTCCTCCAGAGCCATCCCTCCCTAGGTTCAGTGTGCTTCCTGCCCATTTCTTTCTTCTCTCTCCAGCCTCCTGCTTCCATTCTGGGCATCCAGAGGAAAGCTACCTGTCTTGCAAGTGCAACAAACAGTTCCTCTGGTGACCTCACAGACATGTGCCCTCATGTGCCTGAGCACAGTTGTTCATGTATCTAAGGATTCTTTTACTTTAATGCTTTTGCAGCTGTGCATGAAGATCCTCTTGGAGGGGTACCAGGCAAAACTTATTGGTGTGTGTAGGAAGATACACACATCCACCTCTCAGAAGGTCAACAGGCCTCAGCTTCTGGAGGTGAGGTCTGCAAAGCTGCACACTGCCCCTCTCACTGCCCCTGTGGTAGTTGGCTGCAGGAACAGGTATCCTGCACTACTCAGCTCAGTCTGGGGGACACCAATGCCCCCCCCCCCC